CCCTCCCTCCCTCTCTCTCCCTCCCAGCAATGCAGTAGCTTCCCATGCTCCCGCTCCTGCTCATCCACCTCCTTCCGTCATGGCCGCCCCGACTCAGCCTCAACAGCCTGGCTTGATGGCCCAGATGGCTACTACTGCAGCGGGGGTGGCCGTGGGCTCCGCCGTGGGCCACGTGGTCGGCGGGGCCCTCACGGGAGCCTTCAGTGGTGACAGCAGCTCCTCCCAGCCCGCCAAAGTGGCCAGCAGCCCTGTCCAGGTGAGGCACAAATTGGAGGAACGCCGAGCCCCGTTCCCCACAACACGTGGAACCGGGTCTGGTCTGGCGGCGACCTTCACGGGACACGACGCCATTGAGTAGCGTTGGTGGTTGTGGGGTTTGCTTTGGGAGATTGTCCAAGTGGGAATGGCAGGAAAGGAGGAAGGGGAGGTAGTTCTCGTGGTGGAGATGCTGGACTGGAACTGGGGGAATCTCGGGAAAAGGTCTTTGGGGGACCTTGAGTTTGTTCAGTGGAAGAACCAGCTTAACGCAGTGAAGGAGTGGAGACCAACCAGGTCTTCTGACCAACTGGTCTAATGAAACGAAGGACTAGGGGATGGGACCCGCAACATTCCTTGCCTCCCTGCTCTGATGCGTTGGGTAGACGTGACTGGCAAGAGGCATTCTCTCAGATCACCTGGTCCCAAGCCGTTCACTTAACGGTGGCAAGAAAGGTCGTAGAATGAGGCCAAACTCCCTCAACCGTCCTCGCTTAGCAACATCAGGCTCAGTTATGGTGGTACGTTGAGGACGAGCTGCATTACCAAACCACCTGAGGTTGACGGTCTCTTCTTTGACTGCCTCTAGGAGTCCAGGCAGATACCAACCCACCAGCCATCTCAGTATGGGCCTTGCCTCTACGAGATGAGGCAGTTCCTGGATTGTGCTACTAACCAGAGTGACCTGACCTTGTGTGAGGGTTTCAACGAAGCCTTGAAGCAATGCAAGCAAGCCAGCGGTGAGTATGACCACGGTGGAGGAGAAAGGAGACCAGCAGAGATTATACGACCTGAGGCTGCTCAGGAAACAACAACGGAATGGAAAACTGCTGTTGACCTTCTACCGCTGCACCAGAGAGAGTATCTTAACTTACTGCACCTCTGTGTGGTTTGCCAATTGCACAGGGGCAGATAGGACAGCGCTTCAGAGGGTTAAGGTCATAGCCCAGAAGATCATGGGTTGCCCTCTCCCCTTTTTGGAAGAATTTTATAGCTTCCTATGCCTTAAGAAAGTTCAAAACATCCTCAAAGATCCATCTCATGCTGGGCACCCCCTTTTTTTTTTAACTATTACCATCTAGCAGATGGTACAGGATAATAAAAACAAGGACAAATAGGCTGAAAAACAGCTTCTATATCCCAGGGCAGTAACTCGAATTCTACAGTTATAGTGCAACGTTAATGCAATATCGGGTTTTCAATTCAACTGCGTAGAATGTGAAGGAAGTGTGTTTGTGTTTTATTTTGTATAGTTATAATGCCCACTGAAGATGGTATTTAATTTTGCGGTACGAGGTGCAATGACCATAAAGTAAACTAAACTAAAAGGAGACATCTTGGAGAAGGTGGAAGGGTTTTCTGCTTGCTCCAGGGTTTATGAAAAAGCTTTGGTGAACTGCTTCACATTTCGTCAGATGCCCAAAGCAGCTGGATCGATGGAGGGCTTCAATTAGGCACATGGGAGCCAGGTTGTTTTAGACACACCTGCAGGCTACATTGGAGACATCACGAGGACCTGATCGTCTATGGTTTTTTTCTAGAAGGCCATTCTGTTTCTGGAGACCTTTTGGCCTAGCCTGGAAGCCTTGAATGTGGGCTTAGCCATCTCTCTCTCTCTCTCCATGGTGCTTTTACAGTCCCTCTTCCACCCAAATGGTCGTTTTTAGATCTGCGGTGGAGGTTGAAATGCTCTGAGATGATCCTTGTTTTGAATCCTGAGGCAAACATGGGTCCATTAATTCTTATTGA